ATGTTGACAAGGATGGTCAACATGGTGAAACCCCGTCTCTACTAAAAATACAAAAAATTAGCTGGGCATGGTGGTGCATGCCTGTAATCCCAGCTACTCAGGAGGCTGAGGCAGGAGAATTGCCTGAACCCAGGAGGCGGAGGTTGCGGTGAGCCGAGATCGCGCCATTGCACTCCAGCCTGGGTAACATGAGTGAAACTCCGTCTCAAAAAAAAAAATAAAATAAAATAAAATAAATAAAATAATATAAAAAATAAAGATAAAAAGATGAGGAAACTGAGGCTGACAGGCACTAGGCAATTTGGTCAAGGTCATGAACAGCAATCAAGAGCAGAAGCAAGCCCTAATCTTGCCGTAACTCCAAAGCCTACATTTCTAGCCACTGGGTTACACATACTGACTCCATAAGCAAAATTCCCAGAAAGAAAATGCCTGTTGTCAAAATGATTGATGGACTGTATACAGCTGTTCCTTGCATCCCAAATAACCAATAGTGCAGTGCTCAGTATCTTTTCACATGTTTCACATGTGTACCATAGGGCACTTATAATGACTGAGTGGTTACCAGTTGTTCCTCTAATAAAATGAACACCTACCAGCCCTCATGACAGTCATTACTGTGAGGCAATCAGGAGTGATGCAAGGGCGGCATTGGGAAACAACCTCAACCCCCAGCCCTCCCTGCAGGGACCTAGCTGGAGAAAAGCCAATGTAATTTTAAGCTAATGTACTTGATCTTCGAGAATATCCTAAAAGACTCAGAACTGAAGTAACATAACAAAATTGAAGGAAAAACGTAATGAAACCCATAAAAGGCTTTCAAGAAATACTAAATCTAAGTGGTTGTTAAAAGCTCAAAAGATACTACAGAGCAAAAAGGTTAGGAATAAAAAAGATGGCAGATACTAAATCTAAGTGGTTGTTAAAAGCTCAAAAGATACTACAGAGCAAAAAGGTTAGGAATAAAAAAGATGGCAGAGGGCAAGTGGAACCCAAGAGTGGTGATCAGAAACAGCAAGAAACAACCTCCAAAGAGGATGGAACTAGGGCTAGAAACCTGGCCCAGAATCCTCAACCCAGAACCTCTTCCTGGCTCCTGGACATCTGAAAGAAAATGAGCCAAGAAGCTTCTTTGACACAAACACTCTCCCCTTCCTGTTTTATGCCTGCCCCCGAGAAACCCACTGTGAAACTGAATCTGGAGGCAATTCAGCTTTAGGCACGTGTTAATGTTTCATTTCCAATGCTCACTACACCTGCCTTCCTGAAATGTGTTTCTTGCCAAAGCACAACTCACGTTAGCCATAGCAGGTTGAGGGTCTGGCTCCAGTCTCGCTGTGTGCTCCCACTGAGACATGCTCTGCGAAAGGCCTCTCTGGCCAGGAAGAGGGTGGTTGAGTAAAGCAGCGTTAGTCTGTAAATGAAAGGCAGAAACCAATAAGGTTTCACGTTTTTTCATAGAGAGAATTTCTGGGATTTTTCCAGCAACAGGGAGGAGATAAAGTCTTGTTATAAACCACTGGTGGTGATATGGAGGGCAGTGGGCTCTTAAAGGACCCCCTATGGGTCTGATCCATGAGAACTACTGAGTTAGGAACCAAATGAAAGACATGTGAGGGTGTGTGCCTACAGTTACATGAAGGATAGAAACTGCTGCAGTCACCTCAAAAGCCTGTACCCTTTGTGGCTATAGGCAGAGGTGTGGCCATGACCACAAGGAGGAGAAGAGGATAAGATTATAACTCCACCCTTCTTGGTAGCCCCTGTGAGAAAAGCTGAGCCTTTGCCGAGTGGAGGCTCTGGCAAAAAGAATGTTAAGACAGGCAATAAGGCTGACAACCATTACAGAGGCTGCTGCAACCCAGGTCAGCAAGGCTTGCCTGGGTACCTCCCAGGTGGGCAGCACCTGGGTGAGCCTTCCTGCACCTTAGCGAGGAGTAGCTGAGATGTCCCCTCCTCATTAGGCAGCAGTCTGGGTGAAGCCAGAGTGGGGACGGCCCAGGGTTAAGGTCTCTGAGGTTGTTCAAGGATTATCCTGCTACCCCGTGCCTCTGTGGAACATTGCGAATAAGGAGACGGAGTCAAACCTTAAGCAGCGGGCTAGGGCAGGCCAGACAAGGGCTGTCAAAACAGGGACCTGTCAATCTTATGAAGGCTGCCTGGGGAGAAAAACCTGAGCCCCTAAGAGGATTTGGCTCTTCCTTCCTGCTTTTAAAACAGTATTTCTTAGCACCAGTTGCCTATATTTCTCAGGCTCATGCCTATAATACCAGCACTTTGGGAGGCAATGGTGGGAGGATCGCTTGAGCCCAGGAGTTCAAGACCAGCCTGGGCAACACAGTAAGACATCATCTCTACAAAAAATCAAAAAACTATCCAGGTGTGGTGATGCACACCTGTAGTCCCAGCTGCTCAGGAGGCGGACATGGGAACATTGCTTGAGCCTAAGAGGTCAAGGCTACAGTGAACCATGATGGCGCCAATGCACTCCGGCCTGGGTGACAGGGCAAAAACCAGTCTCAAAGAAGAAGAAGAAGAAGGTGAAGAAGAGAAAAAGAAAACAGCATTTCTCAAAGAATGGTCCCTGCTTCAAAATCACCTAAGGAGCTGTAAAAATGCAGATTTCTGGGCCCTTCCTCAGCACTACGTAGTGCAAAACTCCATAGATGATTCCTTTGCTCAAGCTTGAGTCCTGCCACTAAGCTCTAAGACACTGCCAAGAGCCTATGTTTGGTAGGTATTAGATATGAAATGCTTTCTAGAACATACTGTCTTATTTATCAGGACATAAAGACATACCTGAGAAGCTGAGCTATTCTGAGCACTCACATCATTTTATATATTTTGTGTCATTTGTGAAGACAAATTATGTGTGGGTGTCCTTGAACAGAAAGGAGGCGAGTAGAAGAAACAAGCTGAGTCTAAAAGACAAAGAAGTCGTCTTTCCAAGAGCCTCCAAAAAACTAATGACAAGGACTCAAGCTCGGATCCCAGTTGCTGTATCCCAATTATAAAATCACTGAGGAAGGGAAGGAAGGTGGCTGCTCCAGCCCTGCAATTATGATGCGTATCCTCACGAACTGCAGAATTTCTGCTTCCTTTGCTGTCAGCAGGACAAGAACATAGGATTACACCTGAGGGGGAGTTTTTAATGAATTACTCCCACTCTTCTCCTTCCTGAGTTCCAAGAGCAGGAAAACCAGAGGAGCTGGCAGAGAAATGTGCATTTGGAGGCTGCTAATGGAAAACACTCCATGGGTCCACGAAAAGCAATGTTGCCTGTGCATCCCTCCACCCCGGCACGCTTCTCCTCGGCCCACTGCTAAAACATTCTGCTTCTGGTAAAGGTCCATGCTTCTAAAATGGATGACACACAGGTACAGAGTTTGAAGAAAGGCTGGCTTGGAATGTGAACTGTGACAGTGCCAGGGTGCCTCTCCTCCTACCTTACATTTACTACGCCAACGATCTCCTTTGACAGGAAGCGAAGAATAAATGCATTCAAGACAAAGGTGATCAACCGAAACAATACCTATAGAAAAAGAAGAAAAATACATAAGAATAAATGACGTTAGGAGTGTTTACTTTGCTGAAATGAGAACAATGTGGCTGGTCTTCCTAACGTGATGTAATGACACAGCAGCTTTGTCACAGAGACTCTCCTCTAAGACACTCAACCTGTATGCATTTCTCCTGAATTTCCATTCCTTGGGATCTCTCAGCACTCCTGTGCAATGGTCAAAGAACCTAGGAAGGCACTTGGAAGCCTCCCTAATTTATTAATAACAAGAAAGATAGACTCACTGAATTTCTACAGGTTCAAAGTCAAGCCCTTGAGGAAGCAGAAAGAGAATTCTAGTCAGTGCCAGCTCCCTAGCCAAACCCCAAGCGCCAGCCCTGTTTAGAAATAGCACACACTTAGCAAGTGGGAGCCTTAAAAACGAAAGAAAAAAAAAAAAAAAAGCAAGTGGGAGCCTCAAGGGTATAGCAGACTCACCATAAATCATAGGGCCTAATTTCTCTTTCCTTCTCTGCCTCGTAATATCTAGGAATTTCAATAATGACATTTAATCGTTCTGAACTTCAGTTTTCTCAATTAGAAAACAGAAAATGTATTTTATTGAATTCTTGTCTCTTTCCAGAAAGAAGTTGAAATACCTTTTAAACGATGCTGCAAAAATAAGATAGCATAACATGTGGGGAAGAGAGACAGAGTCCAGTTATTGCCACCTGGAAGGGACATATCCTGAGACTTTCCAACCTGTCAATTCAAGAAAACCACCTAAGCGAAGAACTTTCCCCATGAGACACAGAGAACAAGGAGACTGTAATTAAACAGGGCTGCCAAATGGGGATGCTGGGAAGAGTACAAACCTCATTCACTAAATGACTCCCTCCTGCATCCCAGCAGCAAATGAAAATCACTTCTGTGTTAAACACCCTCAGAGTTATCTGTGAAGAGCTGCTCAACACTTTGGGATGCCGAAAGGTAGGAGGATCACTTGAAGCCAGGAATTTGAGATCAGCCTGGGCAAAACAACGAGACCTCATCTCTACAAAAAATATTTTTAAAAGAAATGAGACTGCAGAAGTGAAAGCATTTTTTAAAATACATACAAATGAAAGGCATTCATACTTTTGGCATGACTGGCTGAGAATTAAGATAGAATAAGCTATCTGCACTACCTTGAGCTTTGTTTCAAAAAAGAAAAGAAAAAAGATAGAATAAGCTCTCAAATTCTTGCAGAATAAAATGTAACCACAAAGCTACCTGAACTGTCTACAATTTGAGAAAGCATACAAAAATGAAAACACTCGCCGGGCGCAGTGGCTCACGCCTGTAATCCCAGCACTTTGGGAGGCCGAGGCGGGTAGATCACGAGGTCAATAGATCGAGACCATCCTGGTCAACCTGGTGAAACCCCGTCTCTACGAAAACTACAAAAAATGAGCTGGGCATGGTGGCGCGTGCCTGTAATCCCAGCTACTCAGGAGGCTGAGGCAGGAGAATTGCCTGAACCCAGGAGGCGGAGGTTGCGGTGAGCCGAGATTGCGCCATTGCACACCAGCCTGGGCAACAAGAGCGAAATTCTGTCTCAAAAAAAAAAAAAAAAAAAAAACAAAAAAGAAAACACTCAAGAAACCATATAAAAATATGGTTATTTAAAAAAAAAAGTCCAGGAGTGGTAGCTCACACCTATAATGCCAGTACTTTGGGAGGCTGAGGCAGGCGGATCGCCTGAGGTCAGGAGTTCAAGGCCAGCCTGGCCAACATGGTAAAACCCCATATCTACTAAAAATGCAAACATTAGCCAGGTGTGGTGGCAGGCACCTGTAAGCCCAGCTACTTGGGAGGCTGAGGCAGGAGAATTGCTTGAGCCCAGGAGGCAAAGGCTGCAGTGAGCTGAGATCATGCTACTACACTCCAGCCTAGGCAACAGAGTGAGACTCAATCTCAAAACCAAAAAGCAAAAATAAGAAACCATGTGTACACACTTATGTTCACCTCAAAGTTATCATTGTCTAAGAAGCTTAATGTTTCCTATTTCCTAATTAGTAATCCATATTTCCTAATTGGTTTGAATAAAGGTTGGAGCGAATGAAGCTGAGGTTGCTCATGCCACCCACCATTTGCCACACACAGTAGCACTTATTAGCAACACAGTCTTCATTTACTTCTGCAAAGGACTTTACAGCTTTTGTTTTGAGACAGGGTCTCACTCAACTGTCCAGGCTGCAGTGCAGTGGCATTATCACGGCTCACTCCGGTCTCAACCTCCCAGGCTCAAGATCCTCCCACCTGTCTCCTGAGTTGCTGGGACTACAGGTGCGCATCACCATGCCTGCCTAATTTTTGTATTTTTTGGAGAGACAAGGTTTCACTATGTTGCCCAGGCTGGTCTTTAACTCCTGACCTCATGCAATCCTCCTGCCTTGGCCTCCCAAAGTGCTGGGATGAGAGGCACAAGCCACTGCATCCAGCCAACTTTACACCTTTAAAAAGGCTCTCTCACATCTGTTAAATTATTTGACACTTAAAAACAATCAGGTAAATGCACAGGAATCCAGACTGGAGGTTAAGTGGTTTCCTTAATGTCGCACGGCAAGCAAATGACCCAGCTTGACCTTACAGGTAGGCCACCTGACTCACAGTCCAGTGTTTTCCACTACGACTTGTTTTTGTTTTATGAAGCCTATCTGGGTAGTAAGATATTATCAAAGTCTCAAAAAAAAATCAACATTGTGGATAAAGCACTAAATTCATTTATGTTGTGAAACAGAAAAAAAAAACCTAGGTAAACTTAGAATGGCTAACCTTTACTAAGCACATATCATGTGCAAGGCGTTCTTCAACATGCTTTCTATAGGTTATCTCATTTTATTCCTACATTGACTATTTTAAAAATCCTTATACCAGCCGGGCACAGTGGCTCACGCCTGTAATCCCACCACTTTGGGAGGCCAAGGCAGGTGGATCACCTGAGGTTGGGAGTTCCAGACCATCCTAACATGGAGAAACCCCATCTCTACTAAAAATACAAAATTAGCTGGGCATCGTGACATATACCTGTAATCCCAACAGGCATGGCTGAGGCAGGAGAATTGCTTAAACCAGCAGACATGGCTGAGGCAGAATTGATTAAACCTGGGAGATGATGGTTGCAGTGAGCCGAGATCACGCCACTGCACTCCAGCCTGGGCAACAATCCGTCTCGAAAAGAAAAAAAAAAATCCTTATTACCCTAATAAAAATAACTGCATTTATTATGTACTTGCAATGTGCCAGGTATTTACGTACTTAAGAGGCATGATTTCATCTAATCTTCCTAATGAGACTGTGAGGTTGCACTATTATTTTCATTTAAGATGAAGAAACTGATATTCACAGAAGTCATGGGATTTTTCCCAAAGGCAGGCATCTAGCAAGTGACAACGCCCAAATTCTGGTTGGTTCTTTCTTCTGCCCTCAATGTGCCTCTCTAAGATAAAGGGGAGGGCAGATTCAGGACTTGTGTGAAGTAGGATTGACTGGCTCAAGAGTGAGCCAGAGACATACTGATCCACTTGCCTTAAAAGGATCAGCTCCTGGAGTTGAAAGAATCTTTAGATACCATTTGGACTAATTAGCATATATCGTATTTGACAGATGACAAAAATTAGGGCCAAGAAAGGAAGTGACTTGTCCAAGATCACACAAGCAGAAGATGCAGCCAACATGTATTAAATGCATACTAACAGCCGGGCACCGCGTTAAATACGTTTATTTGAATGATCCCAATCAATCCTTGCATATGAGTTAGGTACTACATATTACCCCCATTTTATCAGTGAAGAGCTCAGGCTCCCCAAGTGAACTCACTCGTCCTGGGTCACGAAGCAATCCAAGCCTGTCTAACCCCAGATTCCTGTTCTTAGCTATGTTATATGATCTCTCGGAACTCAGTGGGACTCAGTGTTTGAGGAAGGTGTTTGATGAAGGAAATGAACCCCCTGCCTGAAAGATATCACATTCTCGAGCACGAAATACCAGTCCCTCACCCCCGCCACCTGATCTAATTCACTCCTACTGCCAATATGGTTAATACAATGCTCAGACGGAAAGCGGCTTGTCCGCAGTCACCCAGCGTAGACTCTAAAGCGCAGGCTCCCATCTCCGGGCCAGGGGTTCCCTTCACCGCCGCCACCGTCTCCGACCGAGCCCCCCCGCTCCATTGCGGGGTCCACTTCGGGACTGGGTTTGCCCTGGGGCAGGCTCTCAAGGGCCCGAGGGCTGCCATCCCGCGAATCCCGGCTGCGGTACAAGTTGGAGCCCGACGGGCAGAGAGTACCTGCAGGAAGAGACCGGAGGAGGCCAGCCGGGCCGCCTGGCCCAGCACCTCCTGGCTGCCCATAGCCTCGGCGCCAGGCTCAGACTCCAGGAAACGCCGCCGCCACTCTGCTCAGTCGCGATAAGATGGCGTCATGGAGCGACTCGCTCTCTGATTGGTGGTCTTGAGACGGGGGTCGGGGCAGCGACGTTCTGGCCCTTTAAGTGGGCCGGGCTCGGGCCGTCTATTAGGGTGCCTGGCTCTTTTTATTTCTACGGGTTGTGTGCTGCCTGTCCCTGTCTTCCCCATATCCCCATATAAACTAAATACTGAGGCGAGTACTAAGAGATGCTGTTAAAGTAGCCAAAGTTCCTTCTCTGAGGCTTTCAGCCACCATCCAAGAAGCCCTAACTTCCCTGGCCTCATCTGCCAAAAGGCTAACAAACTTCTCACTGGCCTGTTAAAAAGATTCTTACCATTGACCTTTGCTTACAAAATCACAGCCACAGCCCCTCTGAATAAGGCTGGACAGGAATTGTCCTCGTTTAACAGAGAAAGAACTGAGAACCAGAAGTTAAATACAGCACTATCACGTGTATGGTTTTGTGAAATCCTTCCTGAAGCTCTGAGAATTGGTCCCTGTTGTTAGAGATGAGTGAAGTCTCGGAGATGGGAAGTGACTTGTTCGAATCTATGCAACTTGTTTCCTGACTGCGTGGATGCCAGGCTTCTGATCCTAAACTTATCACTCTTGCCTGTATGCTAGAAATTGTGAGGGCAGAGTGGAAGGAGGACTGGAAGTGCTTTGTAAAACGTAAAGCACCCAACATACACAATCAGCTGCTGTTCTGTCAATGTTCTTATTATCTACCACGCAGGCTGTAGGAAGCCCAGTCTTTCCCCATCACTTTTACACCTGACATGATTTGGCCGCTGCCTGTCTTTTACTACCTTTCACATGATCACTGCCCTTCCCAATCCTCTCTAAGCTATAGCCATTCCGAGCCCTTACCAGTCCTCAAACAGGCGGTGACTCACTGGCCTTTGCTCCTCCACCCTCTCTGTCCAAAGTATCTTCTTCCCTGGCAGCACCCCTTGCCTTCCCAGACCACACTGTCCTGACTTTCCTGGCCAACCACAGCTGGTACCTGCTGTGGACTAAACGTTTGGGTCCCCTCAAAATTCATATGTTGAAGCCTAATCCATCCCCAGTGTGATAGTATTAGGAGGTGGGGCCTTTGAAAAGTAATTAGGTCATGAAGGTGGAGCCCTCATAATGGGATTAGTGTCCTTATAAAAAGAGACGTCAGAAAAATGATCTCTGTGTCTACTACTTGAGGATACAGCAAGCAGGGAGCTGTCTGCAACTAGGAAGAAGGCTTTATAAAATGTAAAGTGCCCAACATACACTTAACAAACACCAAACTGGCTAGCACCTTGATCTTGGGCTTCCAGCTTGCAGAACTGTGAGAGAGAAATTTCTATTTTTTAACTTGCCCAGTCTATGGTATTTTGTTACAACAGCTCAAGCAAATTAAGACAGTACCCTAAAGTACTTTGTACCCCTTTTTAGCTCCTAGTGCAACCTGCATTATAGCAGAAAGACTAGAATATGTGTCTCTATATAACCAGCCCATGAGCTCCGAGAGGGCAGGAGTGCAGCCTGCCTGGTTTTGCCTCCTGAAGTAGTGGTACGGAACATTCCTAGGGCTCCCACAAATGCCTCCTGACACATGACTGCTGCTGTTGCTACTGGAAGCAGACTGTGGAACTCAGAGCCTCAAGACAGAGCTCATTTTTCCCATTTTGCCAGGTGAAATGAACTCTTGGTGTGGAGGCCCAGAATATGAGCTCTTATTTTCCTTTTCTTTTCTTTTTTCTTTTTTTTTTTTTTTGGAGACAGGGTCTCACTCTGTCACCCAGGCTAGAGTGCAGTGGTATGGTCTTGGCTCACTGCAACTTCTACCTCCTGGGCTCAAGGCTCCTGCACTGAGGCACAGTGATCCTCCCACCTTAGCCTCCTGATTAGCTGGGACTACAGGTGCACACCACCATACCTGGCTAATTTTTTGTGATTTTTGTAGAGATGGGTTTTCCCCATGTTGCCCAAGTTGGTCTCCAACTCCTGGACTCAAGTGACCCACCCACCTCAGCCTCTCAAAGTGCTAGAATTACAGGCATGAACCACCACGCCTGGCCCAAGAACGTGAGCTTTTGACTGTCAGAGAGAACTGGCCTTGAATTCTCATTCTGGCACTCACCGACAGGTTGACCTCAGTATGCTCAGCTGTTAAATAGGGATATTACGTGTCCTGTAAAAAAAGTCATAAGGATTATATCAGACAAGTCTGGCCCTCAAGGAGCTTAAATTCTAATGAAAGGGAAACTGAAAAAAACTCTAATAAACAGATAAAATTTCACATAGGGCTAAGTGCTATGAAAGAATGAAACCAGATAAGCTCATAGAGGCTTTGGAAGAGAGAGTGGGGTGCTGTTTTAGAAGGAGTGAGTCAGGCACCCACCTGGGGAGGAGTGTACTTGGAGAATAGAGAAAGTGTTGGAGGGCCCAGGTGTTTGGCATAATGACTGTGATGCTAAAGACCTTGACCTGGGCAGCCTTCCCATCCCCAGGACTGTGGGCCAGCAGGTGAGGTAGGATCCCACTTCCTTTATTCCCAGCCAAACAGTCTCCTCCACTACAGCCCATTCCCAGAGAGAACTAGCCACGAGTTCATGATGTGCACACACTCCTAAGCCTGGCATCCATGTAAGTTGGTTTGGGAGGGAAGAAATGATTGTTTTTCTAGAGGCAAAGAAGCCAAAGGGGAAATGCTCCAAGCTAAGTCTAAAGGGCAAAGCACTCTAGGACCCCAAGGTACGGGCTCTGTGGGGCTCCTGGGTGAGGAATCAGGGGACTTCTTCTCTTATTCTGGAAGTTAACACTTGGCGAGGAGGGACTGAGCAGAGCCCAGAGCCATGCTGGGTTCTGGGTGGGTGGAGAAAAAGAAACTGTGAGGAGAATCCGCAAACACCGGCCAGTGACTCCATGTCAAGCACCTGTCTGAGCACTGTACATGCATGTACTCCGTCCTCTCAATAACCTATGAGAGAGGAACTACAGATGAGGAAACTGAGGCACAGGGATGTTTAGTAACTCATCCAAGGCCATTCAGTAAGGGATGGTCAGAAAGGTATTTGGATTCAGGTCCCTTCTGATTCCAAATGTGTGAATAGAAATGTTCCTGTCCTCAAAAAGGCTTCTGATTGTAAAGGAGACCTAGGAGTCCCTATATGTAAGCCATGGAGAACATATGTGGCATTGAGAGAGTGGAGTCTGGGAGGGCCGCAGTGGTTGAGCTGTGGTAGGCTTGGAGGCGCCCCCTCCTCCCCAGTGAGGCTCTCCAGAGGTCTGGACCCTGTTGGAAGTACTGACCTGCACACTTCACTGGGCGTAGCACACTCCATGGTCTTGCTCATGCAGGACTTGGCTCAGGGCTGGCAAGCAATGGCCCACTGGATGTTGCCTTTTGTATGGCCTACAAGTGAAGAATAGATTTTACATTTATAAATGGTTGGAAAAAAATTAAAAGAATATTTTCATGACACATGAAAATGGTATAAAATTCAAATTTCAGTGTCCACAAGATACAATGGCCCATGCCTGTAAAACCAGCACTTTGGGAGACCAATGTGAGTGGATCACCTGAGGTTAGGAGCTTGAGGCCAGCCTAGGCAACATGGTGAAACCCCGTCTCTACAAATAAATAAATAAATAAATAAATAAATAAATAAATAAGCCAGGCTTGGTGGTGCATGCCTGTAGACCCAGCTACTGAGGAGGCTGAGGTGGGAGGATCGTTTGAGTTTGGAGACATAAAGACTGCAGTGAGCTATGATCATGCCACTGCACTCCAGCCTGGGCAACAGGGTAAGACCTTTGTCTCAAAAAAATTTTTTTTTCAGTGTTCACAAATACAGTTTTATTGGCACACAGGCACACCTACCCATTTGTTTACATATTATCAATAGCTACTTGCTTGCTTCAGCAGCAGAATAGGTTGATTCACAAAGCTGACAAGATTTTCTAGCTGGCCCTTTACAGAAAAATTTTGCCAATTCCTGGTGATCACCATTGAGCACCTGGCATATAGTAAACATTTCAATATTGAATGAATGAATGCATTTGTAAGTGCTTTGGAATTAATGAATGATGAAGGACTAGGAAAGGAAGAAAGACAAGTACATAGGGTTCTTTCCTGGGGGTCACCTAGTTTGGAGAGCAAGAGGCTCCTTGAGAATACCAGGTTGTAATTGGTGGTCATCGAAGGAGCTGTTTTCCACAGCCTTCCTCCCTGCCTCCCGCCTCTGTGCCACATAGCCTCCCTGCCAGGGAAATCTGACCCAAGCCACCTATTTTATCACAAAGCTGGAGGGAAGTGCCAGAGCTGGTGCCAAGCCAATTAGGCTCCCAGGGCAGAGGGGCAGGGAGGGAGGCTGCCAGTGTCGCCCAGGAGACAGGGTGGAAGCTCTGGCCAGCTGGGCCATGGATTTCAGCTGGGTGGAGGCAGGAGGGCTGGGCATGGTCCCACACCCCAGCCACTAGGTGGCAGATGGTCCTGGGTGAGGGCGCTGCCTGGCTAAGGCTTCTGCTTACCAGAACACCCCCCCTCCGCCCCCAGTCAGGGCCCCTTCCAGAAGCAAGACCTCAAGGCTCTGCCTCTCTCAAAAGTCCCAGGGCATGAGAATGCAGATGTGATACTAGTCGTCCACATCTGTCCACGTAAGCACTGTGCTGGATACTTCACTTTCATTATTTCATTTCCTTTAATTCCCATAGCAGCCCTACAATGCAGGAACCATTATTATCCCCATTTTACAGGCCAAGAAACTGAGGCTTAGCAAAGTTAAGGGACTTGCCTAAGTACTAGAGAATGGTAGTGCCAAAATTTGAACTGGGCAGTGTGGCTTTCAGTCCCTTAACCAGACCTAATCTAGAGTGTTTATTGTTTATGCTGATTCCTGGGCTCCACCTCTGCAAAGCTCTGGGGGCTTCTTTTTCTTTTTCTTCTTCTTCTTTTTTTTTTTTTTGAGACAGAGTTTTGCTCTGTTGCCCAGGCTGGAGTGCAATGGTGCGATCTCAGCTCACTGAAACTT